TGTCAGCTCTGGGGGGATACTCCTTGTTTCTTCAGCATCTATTCCTTGGCTCCTTGGTGACCGTCCTGTAACATGGGATCTGTCCTCCATCTCTGCTTGCTCACTTACTTGTTTAATCTCTTTTATACCTTGAAAGAGGTTGCCTTAAGACACACCCTATACTAACACTGACTCATTAGCATTACGAAGAAAATCCAATCCCAAATGGGGTATAACCCCAGGTAGGGGGTTAGGATTTACAGCACATGTTTTCTGAGGACACAATTCAATCCGTAACAGTAACCATGGGGGAAAGGACACGGTCCCACCTGCCCAGTATTTCCCCTCGTGAGTGTGGAAGCAGAAAGGTGTGCTAGAAATAGAACTCAGACCAGATCTTACAAACATGTCAAGTGTCTGTCCCAGCAGAGAAGGGTGGGGACAGCAAGGCATCCAGGCCCACTAAACGAGGCAGTCTGGTTTCATCTCCTGGTCCCCAATCTTACATAATCTGAAGACTTTTTTTTTTTTTTTTTTGTAATTATACTTTTAATTTGAATTTAACTGTAGATTCACATGAAGTTGTAAGAACTAATAGAGATCTCACATATTTTTTACCCAGTTTCTCTCAATGGTAACATCTTGGAAAATTAGTTCAATATCACAACCAGGATATTGACAACATCAAGGCACAACGGGGTGTTTCCATCACCACAAGGTTCCCTCATGTTTTATAGCCACACCTACTTGCCTCCCACACTTACCCCCTCCTTAGTCCTTTACTACCACTAATCTGTTTCTTATTCTCCAGTTCTATAATTTTGTCATTTTGAGAATGTTACATATATAGAATCATACGGTATGTAACCTTTTGGGACTGACTTCTTTCACTCAGCATAACTGGCTAGGGGTCCATCCAGGTTGTTTCACGTATCAGTAGTTTGTTCCTTTTTATTGCTGAGTAGTATTTGATGGTAAGGAGCTCAGGTGGTATAGTGCCTAAGGCACTTGACTGCTAACCAGAAGGCTGGCGGTTCAAACCCACCAGCCACTCCTCGGAAGGAAGGTTGGGCAATCAACTTCTGTAGTGATACTGCCTCAGAAACCCAAGCAGGGGTCGTTATGAGTTGGGTCCAACTCAACGGCACATAATAACAACAACAACAGTATTTGATAGTATGGATATACCAGTTTGTTTATCCTTTCACCCATTGAAGGACATCTGGGTTGTTTCCAGTTTGGGGCTATTATGAATAAAGGTGTTTTAATGTTCATGTGCAGATATTATATAAACATATATCCTTATTGTTCTGGAACAAATGCCCAGGAGTGTAATTGCTGGTTCATATGATACTTCCATGGGAGCTCTGGTAGCATAGTGCCTAAGGCATTTATTTGAAGAAGGCTGGCGGTTCAAACCCACCAGCCACTCCTCAGAAGGAGGATGGGGCAGTAGTGCTACTGCCTCGGAAACCCAAGGAGGGGTCACTATGAGTCAGGTCCGACTCGATGGTACATAACAACAACATGATAGTTCCATGTTTAGTTTGAAAAGAAATGGCCAAACTGTGTTTCAGAACATACCATTTTTCATTCCCAGCTGCAAACTTTGAGTGATCCAGTTTTTCCACATCCTTGCCATCATTTGAGGGTATGACTCTTCTTTACTTTTGCCATTCTGATAGGTGTGCAGTGGTAGGATACGTGATTTTATGCTTCATTTCCCTGATGAATAAAGAAGTTGATAATCTTTTCATGTGCTTATTTTGCCATTTGCCTTTTTTGGTGAAATGTTTCTTCATGTCTTTTGCTCATTTTCTAGATTTTTTTTTTAACTGTTTCCAGAGTTCTTTGTATATTCTAGATATGAGTCATTTGTAATGTGGTCTGCAAATATTTTCTCTCACTCTGTAGCTTGTCTTTCCGTCCTCTTAACAGGGTCTTTTGCTGAGCAGAAGTTTTAAATTCTGATCAAGTCCATGTGAAAATGGTGTGGCAGAGGTGTCTGACCCCCTCTAACTTCAAGAAAGGGAGTGAGAATCACTATCGGCATCAGCCCAAGGCTGATTCCTATGAGGCAGACGTCAGACATGCCTCTTCTCTCCAACCTTTTTTTACCAATTCTGACACCAACCATCCCTCCCACAGCACTGTCTACCTCTCTGCTGGGTTTGATAATTCATTGCAGTGGCCACAGAGAACTCATAGACAATACTCACGATTATGTGGTTTATTGGGGAAGAAACAATTTACACTTCAAGATCAGTAAAGAGTTAGGATACAATTCTTTGGTCTTCTCAACTTCTCAGCTCCAGGCAAGGCTCTGGCTGTGGGGCCTCTTGGGCCAGCCCAGCCTCTGCCCTGCTCTGCTGATAAGTGCCCAAAGGCACCCCACTCCACCAGTAAGCCTCAATCTGAAGGAGCTTGGCTTTCTTGCTCTGTGGGCCAGGAAGCCAATAACACCATCTCTTCCTAGTCTCCTTGTTGTGCTACCTCTGCTGCTGACATGTCTTTCCCACCACTTCTCACTGTGTCTGGCATTGCAGCGCTGTCTCCTGGGTTCAGAAGGTTCCCAGCATAGGGAACCCGGGTCCAAAGAACAAGCTTCACTGCCATCTCTTCTTCTTGGTGGTGGTGAGGTCCTCCCTTTCCATCTCTGAGATGGTTCATTTGAGTCTAGTGGGATGGTAAAACTAACTCCTTATTAGGGTTCAATGCACCTTATTTGCATGGTCCCACTCCCACAAGGTGCCATGCACCTATTTGCATTTTTAGCAAGCTGTCCAATCCCCTTGGTGGGCCACAAGTGCCTTATTGCATAGTCCCACCCAATCATTTTGTGAGGATTACAAGACCATTGCTTGAAATGCTGTATAAAAGCAATCCATGCACTGCAGTCCACTTTACCAGTTTTTCCTTTTATGGATCATGCTTTTATTGTCAAATCTATGAACTTTTTGCCTAGCCCAAGATCCTGAAGATTTTCTCCAATAGTTTCCTAAATGTTTTACAGTTTCACATTTTAAGTTCATAATCCATTTTTAATTAATTTTTCATTTCATGTGAGATTTACCTCAAAGTTAATTATTGGTTTTTTTCTTTTTTTTTTCTGCTGAGGGCCACTTTAAACATAATTGTCATTCCTGTGATTCTTGTATTTTTAATGGCCATCAATTAAAACAATGATTACTCAGTAGTTCTTTTAAAATAATTTGGATTTTATGTGTCACAATAGCACCTTCATTTTTGTAAACAGTAGGTGCATGTTGTAGCTGGTACAAAAAATGTGTCATCCATTTATGCAAGTATGTAAGTATTATAACTTTTTTTCCAGGATAAAGAAAGCAATTTCAGGTTCAAACTGGGTAACTCAAGATTGTCCCCTCCTGCCCTAGTGTTGGCCATCAATACTACCATGTCATGATGCCAGTAGCAGGTCAAGCACTCACCTGATGGTGTCTCTGCATATTAGAAGGAGCCCCTGAGGAGATGCAGCCCCACAGTGCTGTGAGCAGTGTGTAGGCTAGAATAATGGTGTGTTTTAGATAATGAATTTTGGGGTGGTGTGCAAGGTGAATGAAGGGAGGGGCCTGTCTTATCCTCCATGAGCTAGGAGCTGCACTGGCCCAGTTAGCTAGAAGTATGTCTCACACAAGAGTGAATGCACTAACTAAAGACTGTATATTATATCATTTGGTCTGTATTTAAAATTTACATTTGTTAAAATATGTCAAGTACTTAGAATCATGCCATGCAAGTAATAAGTGATCTTAGTTTTTGCTCTTTTTGTATTCATCAACAATATATATTATGCTTTCATAGTTTTAGCAAAAACAGTGTCACTGTGTACTTTTTTTTTTAAGGTCAACAATACGTGTTTTTGAGATCTATTCATGTTGAGACCCATCTGGTCGACCCTGACTCACAGCAACTTCGTGTGTCAGAGTGGAGCTGTGCTCCACAGAGTTTTCAGTGGCTGATTTTTTGGAAGTAGATCACCAGGCCTTCCTTCCAAATGTCTCTGGGTGAACTTGAACCTCTAATCTTTTGGTCAGTAGCCGAGCATGTTAACGATTATTATTCATTGTCTACCTTTCACATGCATGTGAGGTAATTGAAAAGACCATGGCTTGGATCAGGTGCACTTGAGTCCTCCAAGTGACCTATTTGCTTTTTGTCACTTTAAACAGGTCTTTTGCAGCAGATTTGCCTAATACATCATTGGATTTCTTGACTGCTGCTTCTGTGGGCATTGATTTTGGATTTAAGGAAAATGAAATTCTTGACAACTTCAATCTTTTCTCCATTTATCTTGATGTTGCTTATTGGTCCAGTTGTGAGGATTTTTGTTTTCTTTCCATTAAGGTATAATCCATACTGAAGCCTGTAGTCTTTGATGTTCATCAGTAAGTGCTTCTAGTCCTGTTCACTTTCAGCAAGCAAGGTTGTATCATATGCATATTGCGGGTTGTTAATGAGTTTTCCACCAATTCTGATGCCATATTCTTCTTCATATAGTTCAGCTTCTTGGATTATTTGCTCAGCATACAGATTAAATAAATATGATGAAAAGATATAACCCTGACACACACCTTCCTGTTTTTAAACCATGCAGTATCTCCTACTCCTGTTTGATTGACTGCCTCTTGGTCTAGGTTCCACACGAGCACAATTAAGTGTTCTGGAGTTCCCATTCTTCACAATGTTATCCATAATTTGTTATGATCCACACAAATACCTTTGCATAGTCGATGAAACACAGTGTTTTGGTTACCTAGTGCTGCTCTAACAGAAATACCACAAATGAGATGGCTTTAACAAACAGGAGTTTATTCTCTTACAGTTCTGGAGGCTAGAAGTCCCAGTTCAAAGTGCCAGTCTCTAGGGGCTTGGTGAAAGCCCCTCAGCCTTGGGCTTCAGCTCTGCCTCTTGCTTCTGGCCCACTGAAGTTAGAGGCATCTCTTCACTCAGACAGCTTATGGTTGCTGAGACTGACAAACCCAAGGTTGACAAGTGAAAAGGCACAGTCCTGATGTTACCAAATCACACGGCATGCCGTTAATTCAAGTCCAGTGAAAGTCTCAAGATCACCAGACGATGGCAGGCTACTAAATGAAGACTCAGCTACATGCAGGAGTTAGGCGTGCCAAAAAGCTAGAGACCTTCCTCAAAGCTGCTTCTTATATACTGCAAGCAGACCACATCTCTAAAGTAGCGACTCAGCTGCTCCAGTAGATTCCGCCATGAAACTGATTGCTAATCTCACCACAGGGAATAACTACATCCAGCTGCCCAGCCAAGCTGACAACTTTAATTGCTACACACAGAACACCTTCTGGTATTCTCTGCTTTCAGCCAAGATCTATATAACATCAGCAATGATACCCCACCTCCCACATCCTCTTCTGAATCCGGCTTAAATTTCTGGCAGTTCCCTGTTAATGTATTGCTGCAACTGTTTTTGAATTCTCTTCTGCAAAATTTTACTTGCAGGTGATATTAATGATACTGTTAGGTAATCTCCACATTCTGTTGGATCTTCTGTCTTTGGAATGGGTACAAATATGGATCTCTTCCTGTTGATTGGCCAGGTAGCTGTCTTCCAAATTTCTTGGAATAGACGAGTGAATGCCTCCAGTGTTGTACGTATTGAAACATGTCAGTTGGTATTCCATCTAATCCCGGAGCCTTGTTTCTCACCAGCGCCTTCAATGCAGCTTGGACTTCTTCCTTCGGTGCCACTGGTTCTTGATCACATCTCACTGCTGTCGAGTCATAGCGACCCCTCTTTGGGTTTCCAAAGTGGTATCACTATGGAAATAGATTGTCCAATAGATCACATGCTACCTCCTTATGGTTAAAATTGGTCAACCAATTATTTTTGGATGTAAAAATGGCGTGGAGGCTACATAGTCTGACCTCCTCCAGCTTCACAAATGAGGGCAGGAGAAGCAAGATCACAGAACTTACAGACAATACTCATTATTATGAGTATTCAGGTCTGTAAGTTCTGTGTGGCCATTGCAATGAATTATCGAACCCAGAGATAGTAGAGAGTGCCGTGTGAGGGATAAGGCAACACAATGTAACACAACACACTGCCATCAAGTCGGATCGGACTCAGTGACCTCTCTTTGGGTTTCTGAGGTGATATCACTATGGAAGTAGATTTCCCAACCTTCCTTCCAAGGAGTGGCTGGTGGATTTGAACTGCCAGCCTTCTGGTTAGCTGTCAAATGTCTTAAGCACTATGCCACCACAGCTCCTGTGTGAGGAATAGTTGGTGTCAAAATTGCTAAAAAGGTTGGAGGGTGGAGGCATTTCTGACCTCCACCTCATAAGAATCTGCCTTGGGCTGTTGATCTTGATCCTGCAGGTTACAATTCAGGATCAGAAACAACTCAGGATAGAGTTCTTTGATCAGGGCAACCTCTTCTGAGGACAGCCTATTCTCAGCAGTGTCCACAGGCACCCTTTACTCTGGCTGTCAGCCTCTCTGCCCTATGGCCCCTTGGCCTTTGCCCTGCTCAGACAAGTGTTAACAAAGCTCTTTTAATTCTGCTGATCGGTGCCCAGAGGCACCCCACTCTGCCTGTAAGCCTTGGCTTGAAGGAGCTCAGCTTTAGCTCCTTGAGTCTGAAAATTTAGCTCCACCAAGTGCCAGGAGGCATCTCACTGTGCCAGCTAATCTCCTGCCTAAAGACACTCAGCTTTCTTGCTCTGTAGGTCTGGAAGCCCAGTGCACCGCTTCCTGCTGATCTCCTGATCTGCTGCTTGTGTTGCCATCACTTCTCTGCCACTGCGCACCGACTCTCCAGTATCACAGCTCTCTGTCTCCTAGATCTCAGGAAGTTCCCAGTGCAGGGACCATGGATCCAAAGGGCAAGCTCTGCAGCTGTCTCTTCTCCTTGGTGGTTATCCTACCTCTGGGATGGCTCATTTTAAGCTGAGAGGGATGGCAAAACTGACCAACCCCCATGTTAGGGTTCCATGCACCTTATTTGCATGTCCCACCCCCACAAGGAGTCCATGCCTCTTATTTACATTATTACATTATTAGTAAACTATCCAAGTCCCTTGGTGGGTCATAAGCACCTCACATTTGCATAGTCCTACTCAGTCATTTGGTTGGAGTTTTTCAGAAAGACATGGCTAGAAGGGCCATACCAATCAATTAACTGTACCTCATTGGTACAATGACTCTGTGTATTCATTCCTTCTTATTTTGTCCATAGAATCCTTCAGTATTGCAACTTGAGGCTTGATTTTTTTCTTCAGTTCTTTCAACTTGAGAAATGCTGAGCATGTACTTCCCTTGTGGTTTTCTGACTTCAAGTGTTTGCACATTTCATTATAGTACTTTGACTTTGTCTTCTCAAGCCACCCTTTAAAATCTTCTGTTTAGCTCTTTTATTTCATCAGAAGATATTATCACCTCGGGGACTAAGGTCATCTGACCTAAGCCATGGTATTATTAGTCACCTCATATGCATGTGAAAGCTGGGCAGTGAATAAGGAAGACGGAAGAAGAATTGATGCCTTTGAATTATGGTGTTGAATTATATACTATGGAGTGCCAGAAAAACAGACAAATCTGTCTTGGAAGAAGTACAGCCAGAATGATCCTTAGAAGTGAGGATGTTGTTGTTGTGTGTCGTCGAGTCTGACCTGACTCATAGCAACCCCTCCTTGGGTTTCTGAGGCAGTAACATTATGGAAGTAGATTGCCCAACCTTCCTTGCGAGAAGTGAGGATAGCTAGATTCAACTCATGTATTTTTGACATATCATCAGGAGGGACCAGTCCCTAAATGTCAGAAGAGATTCTGAAACTTGCTCTTGAATAGAGAGTAGCTGAAGTGAAAGGTGAACCACAGACATAGAGGTGAGGATTTACAGCACATATTTTTGGGTGACACAATTCAATCCATAACAAGGAGGAAAAACAAACAACTTCTCCCTCAAGTAGAAAGAGTCTGAACTGCAGGCCTGGTAGCTGAGGCCTCTGCACGTGTCTTATCTGCCCTGCCTTTGATGCTCCTCCTGAGATGCCTCCCATCTCTGCCTGTGATCTCTACCGGATCCTGTCAGAATTATGTAATCCTTTGTGCCCACAAGGGCTTCCAGCCTCTGGCAGTGTCATTGGCCCTGGAATGCCACAGAATGCCACAGCTATCTATTCCTTGGGTTCCACCTGAAGTTCCCTGAATTGACTAGCCCTTGTTCTCTCTGTTTAGTTCCTGCTCCAAGATCATGCTGGGCAGGGATAGCCAACACTCGGGGGTAAGCAGAGGCGTATCTCTGGAAAATTGCACCTATGGCAAGCACTGAAATTGCGCCTCTGTCCATAAACCTGCCACCCATCTTGTAGATAAGTTTACCATAATAACTGCTCAAAAATATAACTCAAGCTTGTTAATCTTTTACTTAGAACATTATGGCTCTGCATGAAAATTACAACTGCACCTTCCTTTCCACTAACGAAAATTTGTCTATGATGTCCTCAAAGTCATTTTTTTCAGTTTCTTCACTTTCTACACTCAGCAGAGCAAGATCACACATATGGTCTGCCCTAACCCATGGAGGATCTCAAATACTAAAGTATTAGTTTTAACTTGCTGAATGATTTCTCACATCTGGTGATGAAAACTTTGATGTTAATAGAAAGTGCTCAGTGGCACCTCCCTTTAAGTGGCACCCAGGTCACATGCCATACCTGCCATGCCTTAGATATACCTCTGAGTACAAGGCTTTCAAGATTCTCCCTATCTCAATCATGAGAGAACAGAAAGGCTGTGTATGCACAGGGACATAGCTCAGGGGGCAGGAGTGCATGGAGGGAAGGACACAGGGAAGAAGTAACTATGGGGAAGAAGTGGGAGGGGAGCTGTTGCATTGTGGTAAATTGTAGTCAATGTCATGAGACAAAGTGTATGTGAACTGTATGGAAAGTGAATTTGCTCTGCAAACTTTCACCCAAATCACAAAAAAAAAAAAAAATTGTTCCCATCTGCCCTAGCATCGGCCATCTCTCATCCCACTTCATGGTGCCATTAGCAGGTCAACCACTAGCCTGGATGGTGTCTCTGCAAATTAGGAAAGAGAGCTCCTTGAGGGTATGCAGCCCTATAGTACCTGGCTTGGTGACAAACCAATACCTGGCAGGGGGTAAACCAGTGGGCTGGCAGTTAGAAGACAAAACCATTGTCATTGGTGCCAGGAGAAGTAAACCAGAACCTGAGAAAGAACAATGAGATCAAAGATGGAGAAGAGGATGAACTAGATGCCACACATAAGTCATGATAAAGAGCCAGCACATGTTTGAGGACAGGGAGGGAGGAGGTAGAGTGGGGCAGCTGCCAAAGGACCCTGCCAGGAGGGTATCTCCATGTCCCCTGGCACTCAGAGGGCCTCTTCAGCTCTCAGGTTTGCTGCTACAGCCCCTGGGGGTCTTCAGGGGGCTGTGGATGGGCCACAGTATAAAGAACAATACACTTAGAAAGAGACCCATGTTTGCCACTCATTAGAGCTGAAATAGGGAGCCTTGGTGGCACAGTTGAAGATAGGTGGTTGGAACCCACCAGCTGCTCTGTGGGAGAAAGATGAGGCAGTCTGTTTCCATAAGATTTACAGCCTTGGAAACCCTATGGGGCAGTTCTGTTCCATGCTATATAGGGTTTCTATGAGTCAGAATTGACTCATAGAAACCCTATTGATGGCAGTGGGTTTGTTTTTTAGAATTGGAACCTTAAGACAATGAACCTCTTGCTGCTTCTATTTCTTCATCCATAAAAAGAAATAAGGTCATACATAGGGTTGGCAGACAATGGGCCTATAAATTCATGTGAATGACCAGAATTCCCAGGTGTATAGTAGAGCTGACAAGGGGCAAGGTTATGGTCATTACTTGGTCACAGCCAGCTACCCAGAGGG